GTATATAAACGTGTATGTGCCACCACCCCCCTCCTCCCCACCCCCCTAAATACCAACAGACCCAGGCATGTCGACCTGTTCGCAAGAAGCAGCTGCTGCTCCTGCTGTGCCTGCTCCTTCTACTGCCATTGAGATGGTACCCCCACCCGGGAGCAATCTCGACCATGTAATTGCTGTGTTGTTGCAGCTACCAGTAGAAGCCCAACACACTGTAAATACCATTAGATTCTGTATCGATTCTTTTGCGCCCCCTGTTTATGCGCATCATAACACAGTACTCGAGCTTGAAGACAAGTACCAGTTTAGTGGCTTTGTTTCTTGTCGTGGCATATGCTCCAGCTACTACGACTTACAATTACTTACTACTACTTACGACTGCTTACTGCTACTTACTGCTGCTCATAACAACAACAACTACTACTTCTACTACTACTACTACTACTACTACTACTGCTACTGCTACTGCTACTGCTACTACGACTACTACTACTACTACTACTACTGCTACTACTACTACTACTACTACTACTGCTACTACGACTAATACTAATACTAGTAGTACTACTATTAAACTGCTACTGTTACTACGACTACTGCTGCTGCTACTACTAATGCTACTATTATAAATACTGGTGCTACGATTACTGTTTCTACTGAACCTTAAGCTTCACCACATTACTCTTAATGTTGGTTCATGGTATTAGATAAATTCCTACCACTTCCTCAAGTCTCATGGCTGTATCAAACCAACACAAGAGTCATCATGCTACTGCTGCTACTACTACTACTACTACTACTACTGCTACGGCTACTACTACTACTACTACGGCTACTACTACGAGTAGTAACCAAACATGAACATTAATAACGTTCAGGCTCTAGCCTTGATCCTGGTTTACGACTACCGCCTTGCCCTTATGCTAGTAACAAAACTCCTGCTAAAATGCTTTAAGCCATTTTTTCATTCTCATAAAGCCAAAATATGTTCATTTCCAGTTGTTTAGGTGGGACTAATGAAACAGCATTAAGACACTCTTTCACTTACACTATTCTATTTCATTTACGCTGCAGATTTAATCATGTAATAGTGTACACTGAATTGAGAAGCATCACATTTATCATCCTTTTGCATCAGGACTTGTGCAATCCTCTGCCGTCTCTTAGAAAACAAAAACAAACTGTGGTAGTGGTTGTAAGTGTTGTACAGTTTCACATGACAACCAGACCAAGTTTCACCTTGCCTACAAAAGAAATTTGAACCACAAATGGATGTCATTGTTGCTTTTGTCATGGTTTGATCCCCCAAGTGAGCAAGCTGCTTTCCCCAATGTACTGCCCGATTCAAGGTTTCGGAGTGAGTCCCTGAGCTAGAATATTAAAATTAACCCAGCTTTCAGCGAAGCGGCAAAGCACAAGTGCTCGGTAAATTAGAATGCTAATACGGCGCAAGAAGACATTCTGCACCGTGGGGGTCACTCAGCAAATTCTCTTCGGAAGCCTCCCAAAGACTGCCTTCTTTGAAGAAGTACAGCACTTTCGCTATGTTCTTGCAAAAGTGCTGTACTGTCCCAAAAAAACCACGTTTGTGCCAACGTGCTGTAGTGCAATCTTGCCCAGTCTTTCAGGCTAGCTCCCCAGGCCTCAAAAAAGATTGGTTTTGAAACTAACAGAAACATGTTTTTGCTGAAGTGCTGTACGGTCCCAAACAAGCCCAAAAACAATCTTTGCAGGTTAGTGGGGCAAGGTGGCCACTGGTTCGTTTGGCGTTTTGGGTGCCGCAGACATGCACATGCCGACTGACACAGGAGCCGTGAAGAAACCAAGAAGGGCAGAGGACCACATTGAAATATTGAAACACATTGATTTTCAATATGGCGGATCCAAGATCCAAGATCTAAGATTGCGCGGGACTGCTGGCAGGAATCTTGGATTCAGGGAGAGCCATATTGAAATATTGAGGCCATACTGAGTTTCAATATGGCGGATCCAAGATCCAAGATCTAAGATTGCACGGGACTCCTGGAAGGAATTTTGGATTCAGGGAGAGCAATATTGAAAATATTGAAACACATTGATTTTCAATATGGCGGATCCAAGATCCAAGATCTAAGATTGCGCGGGACTCCTGGAAGGAATCTTGGATTCAGGGAGAGCCATATTGTAAATATTGAGGCCATATTGAATGTCAAAAAAGCAGATCCAAGATCCATGATCCAAGACTCCTCCCCAAGAGTCCCGTGCAATCTTGGATCTTGGATCCGCTATATTGAAACTCAATGTGGTTCAATATTTCAATATGGGCCGGGCCCCAGGAAAGCCATATTGAAATATTGGGCCGCATTGGGTTTCAATGCAGTCGGTTCGTGCGGTGATGAGGAGATGATCCGAGACATGTGAGTGGAGGGGTTTGTGCCGTTATGAGGAGACGATGGCGAGCGGAAGAATGGTCGTGAGGAGATGCTCGCGAGGGGGAAAGAGGTGAAAACAGACAAAATACATGGATCTTTGGGGGGGGGGGGGGGGGGGTACCATATAAAATGTATGTGTATATATATGTATATATGTTATCTATATATATATATATAATGTATGTATGTATGTATATATATATATATATATGTATGTATGTATGTATATATATATATATATATATATATATATATATATATATGTGTATATGTATATATGTATATATGTATATGTGTATATATGTATATATGTATATATGTATATATGTATATATGTATATATGTATACGTGTATATATGTATATATGTATATATGTATATATGTATATATGTATATATGTATATATATATATATGTATATATGTATATGTATATATGTATGTGTATATATACGCATAAATTAGACGGTAGTGTGTGTATGTATAAACATATATGCATATGTGTATATATATATATATCAACATGTGTATATATGTATATGCTTTTCTATACATATGATTACGTGACCTGATGAGCTGAGGTATCATAATGTTCTTTTGGCGCTGCTTCGCAATCTTCCTTCTGGCTCCAGTGCAGGCCCGGCCGAGTTGGGGCTGAACGAGCAAACTAGTACATATGTACACACATATATATATGTATACATATATATTGCATGTATGTATATTTGTATGTACATAAGTGTATATATATACACACACTGCATATGTATTTTTACGTACATATATATATATATATGTATGTGTACACATACACATATGTACACATGCACATATATAGTAGTTGCTGTAAGACTTGTCCGCTTAGTTGCCTTCCTTTGCTTTCTATTCTTCCCTTCTAAGCGGAGAAGTCTATCTGGTGTCGAGGCCACATCAGCATTCTCTTGGCTGTCGAAGGCTGGTTTCTCTAGTGATCTCGTCCTGTGAGGTGTAGTTATCCGCTGATCGATAAGCCCTTTTGCTTCACTCCCACCAACAGGTAGTCAGCTCTGACCAAGAGGAGCGCCCACCATCTAGAGAAGATGCTGAGGCCAGGATTATGTGTTGCAAGTCGTCGAACCACGAGCAAGTTTTGAGACTTGGGGCACCTTCGACAAGAACAGAATCAGAAGCATGTGGCATGCTCGCATGGCCTGGAGAGAGGTGAAGCAAAGTTCTTCGGTGGCTGCACTAGACACCGGACTGTTTTATTGATTGGCAAGCCCGTGCCGTGGGGTGATGTCTTTTTACAATCGTCTAGACTCTGATGCTGACATTGACGAAGCTTCGACCGCATGACGATGGCCTTGATCGTTCGTTGTAAGACGCGGTCTTGTCAAGTCCGTGCAGATGCTGCCAGGTGTGTATACTGCACAAGTCTGTATCCAGTATCACCGCATGACGAGACCCTGGGACTTGAAAGTTTTCGAGCTCTAAACCCTAAGCCCTAAGCCTTTTCAAAGCCGGCAGGGAAGATGGAAGAGTTTGGACGTACAAACCAGTAGAACAAATCGCAGACACGAGCCCAGAACCCCCGAGTTCTAGAGGTCTAGTAGTTGGCCTCTTCCCTGGAAGGATGCCCTACAGGGGCCTTATACAAACTACCTATACTCTTTTGGAGGTTCCTTGTTATAAGTAAAGTATAACATACCCCACACCTTATTCCCTGGAAGGATGCTCTGAAATCTGGCAGCCCTGGCTTGCTGGAGTCCGAGAGGATAGATGGCTGCGGCCTCAGGATTCGAATACATAAAACTGTATTTAATATGCTGTACTAAACTATGCGTTATATTTCACTGGCTACAACGTATAGCCTGTTGAGGTATAGTAAGTTCTCCCATAGTAACAAGCAGGGCAAACCTTTCTTGGATCATACCATGTGGAGCCCTCTTAAACTATATGATATTATACAGTATTACATCAGTAGTATACCAGACTATAGTCTGACGCATTTCAAGCTGTCCTGGTCAGGGGAGGATTCACTCGCTGAGACGGTTGCGCATCGGATCGGAGATCTTGCTGACAACGATGACTTCCTAGGAGCCTTCCATAGCTTGCATCAGAAGCAATGACCAATGGCGAAATCAAAAAGCCTACGCGCATGGACACATCGGTGATCTTGAGCTTGCTCTTGGTTCATTCAACTATATAGTACTAAATTGTACTATATAGTACGTTTTCGTATTATACAGTAATATATAGTTATGTATACAGCTATCTATATATATATATATAGAGTTTAGTTATAGTTTAGTTTATACAGTTATATGTAGTTATATATAGCTATATACAGTTAGACAATATCTTCTGCTCCCCTCCTCTGCAGCGCTCCGAGGTCTCTGTCTTCACGTGGTCAGCGAAGCCAAGACATACAACATCTCAAAGCAAAGTGTCGCAATCGCAAACTCCAAGTAGAGCTAAATTCGCACCTTCACATTGTGCTGAACCGTGAATATCAGAAAGTAAGGTGATCTCAAACCAAGCTCAAACGGTGCAAAGAGGACAAAACACAGTGCTACCTTGCTTCTGCAGCAAACAGGCTCCGGGGGCCGGAGCCATGTCAGAAGTTGGCGAGGGCCACGTTGGGTTTTCTTGTGAGATTCGCAGCTGGACAGATGCGGCACCCGTGCAAGCGCATTTTCCAGACCTTGCGATTAACGACGACTACTGCGACTGCTTAGACGGCTCGGACGAGAATCTCACAGCTGCCTGCCCGCACAACATCTTCTCATGCCTGAATTCTGGTGGCATTCCGCGACTGATCGACAGCTCCTTTGTCAATGATGGGGTTTGTGACTGTTGTGATGGGTCTGATGAGACCACGACGATATGCAGCAACAGATGCCAGCAGGAGCTGTCAGACATGTCTTCTAGAATTGCCAGTATGTTGGCCCTCGAACGCCGGGGAACGACTTTGAAGGAAGAGGTCTTGCGAGTGCTTTCGGAGAAGGTTGCGTTGACAAAGCAGATGCTGAAGAGTGCCCAGGCGGCTGCTGCACCTTTTCTGGAAGCTAGCCAGAAGATCAAAGACAAGTTAGGTGAAGTTGCGCGCAAGAGTCAGAAAGAGAAGCAAAGCGGGAAGAAGGGAAAGCCGCTGAATCTTTCTGAGATCGCTGACGGCCCTGGACGGGCAACATTGCGATGTTTCGCCGGAGAGTCCAGCTATGAAGATTTCCCTGCGAACGTGTCTTGCATAGCTGCGGCAGAGTGCCCCTTTGTCTGTGCTTACCTATGCAGTGACTCCCGCCGATTCAATGGTACTTGTGCACTGGACGCGGGTGATGAGCCGTGGATGTTCTTTGCATACAACCCTGATGCATTGAAATATGAGAAAATGATGGCCGCCTATGGCAAGGCCCAAGCAGGTGCTGTGGAAGCAGCTGCTATAGAACACGTCATCCCGAGCGAGAAGTGGACACAGCTTGACTTCAAGTGGCTGGAGCTTCGACAGAGACTGCAACGAATACAGCGAAAGGCAGCCGAGACCTTGGAGGCTCTTGCGGAATCTGGGTTCTTATTACAGGAAGCTAAAGCTACCATAATAGCGGTACTGTGCTTTTTGCCTTGCTTTGTCCGAACTTTGTCCCGACTTCGGTAGCTTAGCTTTATAGTTCCTCTGAAGAGATCCCAGGAAGCCGAATCGGACGCTCACATGATGAACTTGGTTGAGTCCGGCCAACTTGGTCCATCAGGAGTCTACCACGACCTACATGAGGTGGGGAGCTTGAAGGGCTTTGTAGGGGTCCTGAATTCAGGGAATAATCAGAATCCTACTACTACTACTACTACTACTACTACTACTACTACTACTACTACTACTACTACTACTACTACTACTACTACTACTACTACTACTACTACTACGTCTCTTGAGGTCGAAATGAGTGTTTAAGGATGTCTTGAAGCAAGGATCCTACGAATGACGGTCCATATTAGGGTCCCTAGTCCAGGTATGCGTGAACCTGACGCAGACTCAGTATGTTGGGACCACGGCGCTGCGTGAGCAATGGCGTACTTTTGTGTATGGTATTTGCTTCTACCGGAATGCCACGCAAGCAGAGCTCAAGTCGGATGTAGAAACGGCAGCAATGTGCGATGAGTCTGGGAAATGCTCAGAAGCCCAAGCCGCAGCTTCAGATCCGATCGTTCTCGGCCGACCCGCAGGCTTCATGCTTCCTGGTAGTGATCCAAAACGATACGGACTACGGGAACTGTTCTTCGAGCCATCGGAAAACACCCTCATATTTGCGGGGGGTGCTTCCTGCGGACACGTGGCGCGAGCTGTCGCTGTTGAATTTGTTTGCGGGGAGACCTTGGAGCTCCGTCGTGTTGCAGAAGTGAGAACATGCTGCTACGTTGCGGAAGTGTCTCACCCAGGTGCATGCAACCTTCTGAGATGGCCCAGGGGTCTCAGGGACTTGGACACAACCAGTCTGGAAGCCAGCACGGCGGAAGTGTCTGCATGGCTTCTACGGAACGCGCAGCGTCTGCACCAGGAGGGCGTGGCCGATTGGACAGTCCGGCTTGGCTCCGCCCGCTCCACTCAGCAGTGGCTTCAACGTGTCGAGCAAGGCATGGTCCCTCCGCTGGTTACCGTCGAGGCTGCGAGGGAGTCACTTTCATCCGCCCTATCCTTGGCGCAGTCAGCTCTGGAGCTTCTGGCGAATGCAGCGAAAAGCTGTGTCCCGGGCGCGGTTGTCGAGCTGAGATCTCAAGCAACTGAGAGCTTCATCGAGCTTGCCGGACATGTTAAGCTGCCAAGTCCGGTGGCAAATGCCTCCGAAGCCATCATTTCAGCTCTGGGATCCTTCGAGGTTGATTGGAGTCATGCCTGGAGCTACTTCGACGCAGCTCTAGCCGGAACCGGCCACGCTCTGACCTACAGCTTCGTACCTTTGCTTGAAAGGTTTGAAGAACAAAGGCCAGCTGGTCGGCACTATTCCTTATCAACTGAAGAAAACGACGTGCTGCTCTTGCTGGGATACATTGCGTTGGTGCACATCGTGATGATGTGCGTCTTGCGTGTCGCACTGTCTGCCTGTTGCTGCTTCGGAAGAAGCTGTTGCCGGTGCTGTTGCAGCCCCCGGACATCAACAACCTCAGTGCTCGACGAATCCAGGCCGGGCAAACTTGGAGATGCCGACAGCCCGCAAGGAAGCGATGCCGCAGACTCTCCGCAGTAAAACGATCTCTCAGGAGTGACATTTCAAGAAGGGTGTTGGCGTCAGAGTCCTGGTTGCAGTGCCTTGCATGGGTTTGAATTAACTGTCAACGGTCCGTGGCCAACCTGTAAGAGTGTGACATGAAGGAGAGGAGCTAATGAAGCACTTGCCCTGTGCTCCAAGTCCGCATTGAGAGTTGAAGGTCTTGCACTGGCTGTGTACAGATAGATCGCAGCAAATCCTTGAATGGCTCTAGCCCCTTTGGAGCAGCTTTGGTTGAAGCTGGTACGCCGCGAAAACATGATGCGGTTCCGTATCTATGCTGAGTCGGTGCCGGTCAAGATTGGCTCTATCCAGCACAAAGCCTGACAAACCTGAGACGGCGCTATGCTGACTAGGCCCGGATGAACCGAACTTCTTCTATAGTACACTCCCGGCCGAGATCCAGCAAGTTCAGACAGCTTAGCTTTGAGTCTCCAGTTCATACGGTAATGGCAGCGTCCAGCTGCCCACTCGGACTCGGCGGGTGCTGCACTTAGCGGCACTGAGACATACGGAGACTTTGCTTCCGCCATATCGAAACGTCTTGAGCCTTGCGAAGTTAGGCCGAAGCCTGCGCCAGCAGCCTCAGGCAACGGTGCGTTTGCGGAGTGCCTCAATGTCCCACAGGCCCGAGTTGTGCTGTTTGGCTCAGAGGCGAGGCGCCTGTCGATGCTCCTGGCCAGTCGTCGGCATCTTCAACCTCCACAGCTCAGGCAAAGGGGTCCACAAACCACCCGGCAAAGCTCAGTAGATGGTACCCCGCAAGTTCCTGTCAGGCTTCCCAGAAGTCGCATGGGCTCAGCAGCGAGCGAGAAGTGCTCCTCAATTGCAAGTGGCACCGTAGAGCGAAAGCATGCTTAGTGGAAGGATCCTGAACAGTTCCAAGCTTGTGAGGGGCTAGCTGGCTGGCAGGTCCACCATACCTTCCGCCGATGGGTCGTTCGTGCCTCAGCAACCGGAGTGGTTTCAATAAGCACAGAGTGGTGCTTCTCAGGCCATTTATGTATCCATCCGAGAAGCAGTTTTTCGCTTCCGCAACGGCGAAGGGCCACACGCTCGACCCACAGGAGCCTTTCCCTTCCTTTGAGCCTTTTCATAGTGCTTCCCTGGACCCAATGTCTGAAGCCTGGAGTGCCCAGGACATGAGCATGGTCATCGCAATTCACAATGCCGTGAACGAGCGGACCTGGCAAGAGATCCTCAAGTACGAGGGCTTGCACCGCAAGGACCCCTGAGCCCAAACAGCTGGTCACGCGGATTTGGTTGGTGCTTGGTGGGCCCCCTACCCCCTACACCCCAAACAAAAAGCACTACAACTGAGCCCTAAACCCTAAACCGTGGCTCTGAGCTCTCGGAGGAATGTGCAGAACCGAAGCTCCTCCGATTCCTCGGGCGGCCGGGAGAGCTGACACCCAAGGCTCGCAGAGAAATAGAGAAGTCAGGAGTGGGCGGTCGCCATGGAAGCCATCATCGCTTTTAGACTAGTTTGGGGTTTAGTAGGGTGTAGGGATGTTTAGGATGGAGTTTTCAAGGACTCCATGGTTAGACTTGATGTCCAAGGCCCGCCTGACCAGCTTCTTCGGACGGACGTTGCCGTTTGACCGCCACGACTGGCACGTAGATCGGTGTGGCGAGCACGTTCGAAGCTCATCCGCAGCTAAGGGCCGAGGGTTTTGCAGGTTCTCGAATTCTTAGCTGCTGGGCATCTTGTTTCGAGACTCGATATGCCTGTCTGAAGGATATGTGGTGGACTTCTATGCCTGAACCTGATTGCACGGCTTCAGTTGTCAGCACGGGCAGCATGCAGTAGCTGGTACGTGCCAGTCCCATGATGAGGATGGACAACAGAGTCCGACACATGCAGTGTCCATACACATCGATGCTCGTCCTGAGGAGTCTCGTCAGCATCGCAGCTGCAGGGCTAGTCTTTGATGGTGCATTTCAAGCTGCGGGACGTCTGCTGCAGCCGGGTTTGTGAAGCCTTGACTTTAAGGCTTTACAGTTCCCATACTATTGTGGGGGTCCCTTGTTACAATTATAGCACAACGGGCCGCGAAACGCGTATCTCAACTGCTTGTTGTCTCTCACTAAGTTATGTCTGCTTCTGCAGGTGTCCTGGCAAGGACTGGCGGACCGCTTTGCGCTTCTTGGCCGCGGGAAGCAGACCGTGTCGTTGGTTTTTGTTCTGTTGAGAGCAAGATCATGATTGCGGTAGTGACGATGAAGCGATGGGGATGCTGCTGCTACACCATTAAGCTACCTATCATTACTCATACGATTGCGGCTTTGCTTGTCAGGACCACTTGCACTTCGTGCGTATTGTTCTGATTGTGATGCGATCCTGCTCTTCTCCTTCGTGCTTGTGGTAAGTGTCATGACTGGAGGGTCACTAGCCCGAGGCTGTGGTGGAACGGGAAGTAGCGTTTCTGCGACTGCGCCACTTCGACTTCGCTGAAAACAGCATCCGATCGTTGGCGTACAGTGCAGGATGTTTTGAAGTGGCATGTCCAGAAGTGCAGGAACTCGGCAAGACTCTCTTTCAAGGAAGCCAGAGTGAGAAGCTGATGGCATGTTATAGAACGAACCTGTGACATATGTCAAGCCACTTACCTCTGCATGCCGAGCTTTTAGTGATCTGCACCTTCCCCTAACACCTTCCCCTAAACCCGAAGCCCAAACATTGTGCTGCCATGGGCCTGGTAGCACGCCGGCCGAGGCCGAGCCACGATTGCAAATATCGAAGTTAGTTAATGCTCAGAGCCTCCAACATTCCCTGAGGAGGTGTTTGAAGAAGTACCCTTGTTGCTGCGTGTGTAGGGGTTTTGTTTACCAGCAGCTTGGATCAATGACTCTTGGAGGGCCCTTACATATTGTATCCATACTGGAAGTTGAGGCATGATGAAGCGCTCACGGATGGAGCCTTCACGGTTCGTTTCTCGTAGAAGGGCACGGGGTGATTTTCTGTTTGCGGGCTGGATATGGGCTCTGCGGGATCTGACTCTGACCTATCAGCATGAGATCATTCACACATGGGAGTTTCCGAAAATTTGGGGTACCTTACAGTATTTGGGGGTCCTTATAACAAGGATCCTGCTATTTAGGGTACCATCTTCGGGTCCGATATTTCCGGAAACCCCCACATCTGGAATCTCTTTGGTCCCCAGGTCGCACTTCCCATGGCCTTCAAGCTGGATGTTGCCCTTGCCGAGCGATTCCTCGGATCCCTCCCTCTCATATCGCTGGAGAAGGAGGTGGGGTTCCTGAGTTCAGCGATCCCCTTATGTGTTTACTGTGGACTTATAATATTTTATAATTATATAGAGAAGATATATTACATAACATGATATACATAATCTACGTCTGTTATATCTGGTATATACCACATATTGTATTGAACGACGGCTCTGTTGGGACAGGACTGTCGCGGACTCGTGCTTCAGAGATCCAAGAGCCTCGACCACACAGCGCTCTATCAGACAGCTCCTCGGCCAGGAGAATTGGGAAAGCTTCAGACAGACTTGTATCAGTATACTATGGGGGCTTTCATAATTACCTGTATACGTGATTTTAGTACAATGTATCAGTATGCTGATGTAGTGTATCATAGTATAGTATAGTCTGGCAGGGTATAATAGGGGTCTTAATAATTGCTTATACCATTCTGGGGTTCCTATATGTGATCATAGTATAATGGGCCTCAAGACCTTATTCTAATCATTGAGGCCGCCATATTACTTCTCTGGCCCAGCAGCAAAGAGCAGATGATCAGTAGTAATATTAGTAATAATAGTAATAATAGACCCCAAATCGATACCCACTAAAGCCCCCAAGGTGTCTCAATCCGGCTTGCTAGCCCCGGCAGCGGCAGAGGACGATCTGCTCGAAGCTCAATTCCGATGTGATACTGCTGATGGACAAAATCCTGCATGACCTTAAGGACCCTAAACTATGGGAACTATGGTATATTCTTTATAATGGGTAATGCAGGAGTTTGTCCATCAGCAGTATGACATGAAGCTTCCAGCGCGCGCGGTGGCGCTTGTGCTGACTTTGCCGCACCTTCAGGCACCGGCAGCAGTCATGGGCAAGGACGGGTGATCCAGTCCCGCGTGATGGGCCGAGCAACAGCCAACTAACGTCACCGGGTTCACGTCACACCTCCGCTTAAAGCTCGAAAGGTATGCCCTTGGACACCACTGCAGCAGAGAGGCCAGCTTGATTGCGTTGATGAATGCCCAGTTTGATCGAGTGCACAGCCCTAAAGATGACAGGTTCCTGAATGGTCTTGCAGTGTGGAGCTCTGGTGCCGAGGACATCTCAGTCTAGACTTGACGCTTGAGTAGATAAACCGACGAAAGTTGTCCCTAGTAAAGGGCTGATCTTTCGTTCATGCTGTCGAAAAGCCAGCAGGACATTAGATAAGCGGATGGGATGGTGAACCAGTTTCCCTTGCATTGTAACTGTATCGAGCCGCTAGTCGACCAGTGAGATAGTAAGAAAGATCACGAGACTGATTGCCGGCGCACGTTTCGCACGTCCAGCCCCAATCCCTCTTCTCCCGATTGCGCTTCAATGTTGATTCAAACGTCAGATGAAAAGGCAAGCCAGGGACATACTAGCTTGACCGATTTCATGATCTGAAGCACTGGCTTCCATCGCAACGTGCAAGCGCAAAGCTGTCTGCTTACGCGCTTGAGCTGCTTCTTGGGACGAAGCCGCAGGTAGAATCTGCCCAAGAACCAGTGGGGGAGCCGGCCTCAGCTCGCTGGGTCCCGACTTCTCTGCATGCTTCCGAAGATGCAGGTGGGACATGGCTATGGTCCAACGAGCTTTGACTTTCAGCAGTTCCTTGACTCAGTGCTCGAAGATGTGAGTTGCTACATTGCTACATGTAAACATAGATTCAGTACCCGTGACTTGGCCAGGCCGCAAAACTCCGTGAGGCCCAGCAAGACGGTGATCGGAGGCTGGAGGCACGG